ATATACGTATATACGTATATACGTACGTACATGTACGTATATACGTATATACGTATATACGTACGTACATGTACGTATATACGTACGTACATATACGTATATACGTATATACGTATATACGTATATACGTACGTACATATACGTATATACGTATATACGTACATACGTATATACGTACGTACATACGTATATACGTACGTATACGTATATACGTACATACGTACGTATATACGTACACGTATACGTATATACGTGTACGTACGTATATACGTACATACGTACGTATATACGTACGTACGTACGTATATACGTACGTATATACGTACGTACGTACGTATATACGTACGTATGTACGTACATACGTACGTACGTATGTACGTACGTACGTACGTACGTACGTATATACGTACGTACATATACGTATATACGTACGTACATATACGTATATACGTACGTACATATACGTATATACGTACGTACATATACGTATATACGTATATACGTACGTACATATACGTACGTACGTAGATACGTACGTACGTACGTACGTACGTACGTACGTATACACATATATACATATATATATATACATATATATGTATATACGTACGTATATACGTATACACATATATACATATATACACATATATATACATATATACACATATATACATATATACACATATATACACATATATATACACATATACACATATATACACATATATATACATATACACATATATATACATATACACATATATATACATATATACACATATATATACATATATACACATATATATACATATATACACATATATACATATATACATATATACACGTATATATGTATGTATAACTGTGTCGTATGAGAATGTTCCAGCACCAAGGCCTTTGGGCCACTTGCTTTGGTTGCTGACCATTTGTTTTTGAATGTTGTTCCTATCAGTCTGAGACCAGAAGTCTGAGACTGAAATGTCTGTAACATTGGCCATCGGCCCCCACCTTTGCTCATTCTGTATAAAGAAAGCTTGTTCACTTTTTTCGAGGTTCTTCCTCACTGAGACTGAACGCATTCTGTTGTGATGATTTAACCTTCTCTGCGCAGAGAATAAATACTTACAAGACAACCTGGTTTTTGGTATTTTGTATTTCAGCATGAAAAGACACGCAAAGCAGGTATAGGAATTTTTTCCACCACACAGGTCATGAGGAAGTGAAGCAAACAAATGTCACTGTGTGTTTTCACGGACCTGGACCTCTGGCCAGCTGCTCTTCCCGTCCAGCAGGGCGTCCAAGATGCTCCTCATCGCCACCTCCTTCACCGGATCGTCTCCGCTGATGATGTAATACGAGGAGCGAAGACGTCTGAACAGGTCCAGGTCCACGGTCGAAGAGGAACAGCCAGACGGGAGGTAGGCCAGGTCCACATAGACCGCAGAACCTGAGGAACCTAGAGAACCTGCAGCTTTGGAAGCTGGGAGGAAGTCAGACGAATGAGATTAAAACTGATTAATCCCACAAAGACCTTAAACCTAAATAATCTTTGTGTATCAGGATGCCAGGAGCAGGAAAAGGTTGTTTAACAGTGATGCTGTTCTACTGTCACATGACAAGAATGAGAAACTGAGGAGTGATGAATGAAATGAAGAACAAAGATCTAAATTAAGAGTCAAAAGACTTTGTTTGGCTGACGGTGCAGCTTTAAAAGCCTGGAGGGTTACGAACAGAACTCATGGGCCTCAAAGGAGACCTTCAGTATCATTATATTATATTCATTTGAAAGATACTCAAAAGTGCCAAAAACGGGTGTTTTCAGGACTGGGCCTGCCTACCTGAGGATGAAGGTTTCACAGGACCAACTCTGGAGCCTCCAAGTGAGTTTCTGGACGATGGCTTCGTGTCGAGGCTGGAGGTCGTCTTAAGGGACCCCATCGGGCTGCCGGCCTTGGACTTCCCGGTCTGGGCAGTGGTACTTCCGGAGGTGGCTTTCAGCGTCTTCGCGGTGGGTTTCTTGGTTTTGGCAGCTGAACTCTTCAGGTTCTTGCTAGCCTCCGAGTCGGCCATGCAGGCTCCAGGCTGCGGGGGTAAGGGGGGCAAATCTTTGACCGGGGCCGTTGGGGGGTCATGCCCTCCCCTGTGGGAGTAGTGAGGACTGGGATGATCTTGTGGATGACTGGGCGGGAAAAGGCTACTGGAATCCTCATCAGAGTCCATCTCTGCGGTGATGGACGGACATTCCTCTGTACAGGGGGGCATGTCAGAGTCCATGGTGGTCGGGACGGAGTCGCTAACCGATGTGGGAGGAGTTTCCTGGCTGTAGAGCGAAGGGCAGTCGCTGCTGCTTTGATCCTGTGAGTGGTTGTTGTTGTCAGAGCGGTCGGGGGAGTCGGCGGCAAGGCCCGGGCTCACGTGCTGCTGATGGTTATCTGGAGTCTTGGGGTGCTGGAACTCACAAGGCGACACTAAGCAGAGATCGACGTCATGTGGAACGTCTGAGATGAGGTCTGACATCCCGTGGATGTGATCCTCTGATCCACTAAGCCCATTAAGGTTTGATCCCAGAGGTAAGGCCATCCCTGTGTCTGAGTCTGCAGCATGTCCGTTAGAGTAGACGCCGTCTCCCACGGGGCCTTTGGGTGACAGCGCTTGCTCCAAAGAAACCGACAGGGATTCATCAACTTCTGTAGAGTGAGGAGAGCCCACCTCAGCTGGCATGGAGGTCTCGGTGGAGTCCGGCATAATGTCTTTGAAAGGACTGAGCGTCAAAAGACCCGACTGTCTATCCTGAGAGGACGTGGAGGTTTCCAGACCTTCCCTGAGGGAGCTCAGGTCGGAGGTCTTGTTGTCCTCAAAGCCCAGACTGGATCCTCTCATCCCGAGGACGCCGTCGTCACCTACACACAGAACATCTTCTTCAAGGAACCGATGGGAAGCCGTACGTCCTGGAAAGTGAGAGGCAGAGTTTGCATTGGAGACCTGGCCCGTCTCCACACAGCGAAACGTCTCTGGACTCTCTAATGTCGAGGTCTGGTTCCCATTTGAGTTGTTCCCATTGTTGTCCTCCAATCGAAGTCTTTCAAAGTCAGCCGTCATGTCCTCAGGTGTGGACACCTTTGAGCGATCTGCCTCCTTCTGGTTTTCCTGCTCTTTTGAACCTGGTTTACCTTTTGTCCCTAAAGACGAAGCGTCTTTCTTTGGAAGAGTCCCTTCCTTTTTTAGACTCTTTCCAAAAGCTTTCTTTACTTCTGTACTTGAAGCTCCACTTGTTGCTTTCTTTACTTCTCTAACAGGTCTGGTGGTTTTCACATCCTTCTGTCTGTCTTTCTTTGGTTCAGTATTGATGTCTTTCTTTGCTTTTGTACTTAAAGTTTCTTTCTTTTTCTCGCCACTCTCTTCTTTCTTGACGACAGCAGCGGTGACCTTCTCATCTTTCTTTTTCACTTCCTTTTTCTCTTCTTTTGACACATCTTTCTTTGGAACAAGCTTTTCAGTCGGTTTCGGTGGCTTTGATTTAGCATCTGGGTCCTTGAGTTTGGGCTTTTCTTCCCCATCTTTCTTTTCTTTAGGTGTGGTGTCACCTGCTGCCTTTGGCATCGTTTTCACCTCCTGTTTTCTGACATCCACTCGTGCGAGCTTGTCTTTCTGCGAGGCACTACTGGGTCTGAAGTCCTTAGACTGGGACTTAAGGCTTTCCCGACTCTCTGCTCGTTTTGGTTGTTTCTCAGGTTTGGATGTTTCTAGGTCCTTCAAACACACAACCGGATGTTTGAGGAAATCCAGATGTTTGAGTTTTTCAAGTCCTTCCAGAATTTTGGTCTGCGGCGTGCACCCTGGGAAGAGGACACGGACGATTCTTTCCTGAGGACTGGAAGGATGCCAGACCAGCAAAGCACAGATGGAAACAAGGCACGGTAGAGGAAGATCTGAGCCCTTAACATCGGATCCGTTATTTGGCCAAATCTGCATTAAAGCTTCGAGGTTTTTGCTCCCAGTGACTGGATTCAGTGGGTACAGCTCCAGACGGCCCACTCCCATCTTTTGAAACAAGATAACTGGTTCTATACTGGGTCCGTTAGACCGGCTGAGAGGTTCAGGTTTGATGGAGAGTCTTTGTAAATTCTGCAGAGTGAGCGCCACCTGGTCACAACTCCGCAGCTCTCCTGGATCTCCTTGTAAGGACTTCAACCTGTGGGGAACATTGAGGAACACCACCCCGATCTCAGGGGAGATGAGGTTTTTCACCCGGTCCTCCTCAGTCTGAGATCCAGCAGACTCTTCCTCCTGCTCCGCTACCTTCCTCAGCAGCAGACTGTTCAGCCCGGGGAGATTGTCCACGCCGACGTGAGTTAGGAGCACCGAGTCGATTCTGTCCAGGTGCCGAACCAGTTTCCAGAAGCAGGAGCGGGTATCTGAGCCACCGTTCACCAGGACGTTAAAACCGTTAACGGCAAAGAAGGCCGAGTCCCCCCTCCCTCCGGGGAAGATGTAGCAGCACGGCCGAGAGAGCTTCAGGAAGCCCACGGTGCTCGGGGGCTCCAGGAGGTCGAAGAGGGACTCGGGCTCCAGAGACTCGGACAGGTACTCCGTGAACTCCTGCAGACCCTCCATCTCTGGTAGGACGGGGGGCGGGTTGATCTGGATGTAGTCCTGCAGGTTGTGTTTCTCTAACTCAGAGTTCTTCCAAAGACCAACATCTGGACAGCTGAGGGTGAGGCGGGCCTTCATCACCGGGTCTGTAGAACTCAACATCTGTCCAACCTTCAAACAGAGACAGAGACCATCAGGACCGATGCTCATGATCAATAATGAACTTTAATAAAGGAGCCTTTCTAGTCAACATCTCTCTCTCTCTCTCTCTCTCTCTCACTCTCACTCTCTCTCACACACACACACACACACACACACACACACACACACACACACACAC